GCATACGGATTTATATATAATAACCCCATTGTAAATTACAGATGAAATATGAAATAAATTACCAACCGAATATGTATTATATATTATTAAAGAATATTTATTTTATTTGTGTTTATTTTAATGCATGTGGAATATTCCATGTACGAGTGAATAGGTCTCTAGTGATGACGTATTACGCATCTTATGAACGATAACTCATTATATGAACGATAACTCATGTTCGACTTCTTTTACGCCATATCTTCTAGTCATTACCGCTTGTAATTCCCGATTCACGCAATGATGTAACTCTCACTCATACAGCAGTATATATTCAATACATGATCTTATCAAACAACTTTTAAATTTGACGCAAATCTTTTTGTAAAATAAACAAATTATTGAGTCCATTTAAATTCCCAAAACAAAGATGACAGTTAATTAAGTTTTCGCGTCCACTTAAGACTTGATGACATGTGTTCCTCGGCTGATAACGGCTAATACGATGTGTCGTGTTCAAACTAAAAAATAATAGACAATTGAAATACAACAGGAATAGACTGTTTATTATTTGAGATTTTTGTTAATAATACATGAATAGTGTATATTTTTGACGTCAGAATGATCTAAATAACAATTATCGTTTCTTTTTGACAGAGTTAAAATAAATCAAACGATGATAATAATATTTTAATCATCAAATAAATTTTTAAATTGTTGAAATTGTCATTATTTTATGCATATACTTTAAACTTACTATGAAAGGGATTTGATGGTTATTATGTATTGTCTATTAATATATGTATATAGAAGGCTAGGGCAAAGCTTTTCTCTCTTTTCTCAAATGAGGTAAATCAGTATGGACATTCTACTTATTTGAGTTGGCCATTAATTCGCTGCAAGGGACTTCCCATTTTCTCATTTTCCTTTGGAGGACTTTGACCGTTCAGCTTACTGACTGAATAGGTTTTGAAGTATATTCATAACTGTCGTACTCAAATCTGATTAAAATCAATTTCTTTACGCTCGAGTTTCTGATGGTCGCTGTACAAAGTAAAACTTTACAAAGCAAAGCGACCATCAGAATTTCGGAGAGTGACAAAGATCTGATATCAATCAGACTGGTCGTACACCTTCTAAGTAAATCCTACACAAATTTATTCGTGCTGTTTTATAAGATCTACATATTACAATGTAAACATTTCGGATATCAAATACTCAATCATCAACTATCAATAAAAACAAAGAAATATTCTTATTGCATTTACTGATCTGACCCCTCTCTAGTTTCTGCTCAAGTCAGTGTTATCTTATATGAAGTCATATAGAATGGTATTTGTAGGTATAGTCATACGATGCAGTTTACTATGACGGTCAGCAACATTAAGTTGAACTTTGGATATTTCGTCTTTCGAGGGGTGATCAAAAAGTTCGCGAATAACTTCAATCAGAATTTCACGTCTCCATATGAGTGAAAAATTCTCGAGAGGGACGTTAAAGAATATACAATCAATCAATCAATCAATCAATCAATCAATCAATCAGAATTTCATAAATATTATGGATTCTGTAGAAGATTACGCCAGGCGATGGGCCAGATATAAAAAGAAATCGTTGACACTTTGTCAGAATGGATTAAATGTATCAGATCCATGTTACCATCGCGTATTTAAAAACTGAGGGGCAATATGAAAACCATCTATCCTTCTGTATTCAATAATCCAGAAGTGAAAAAAAGAAATTAGATAGATGACACGATCAGTACGTACTGGTCCCTGCTGACAAAGCAGGTAACAACATTGTCTTCGTTTGTAAGACTCATTATATAAATTGTATTTTAGAAGAACTTGGATTTAATTCTACAAGTGGAAATCCAACTTATACTCAAAATTCCCTTTCTAAGGAAAAAATTCTTCAAAATCATGTGTCAGTTTTGAATATTTCTAATATCCGAGATTCGAAATGAATTTATACTACCATAGCTATGTTGGATTCCAAAATTTCATAAAAATCCTTACAAAGATACATAGCGGGTTCCAGTAAAGGTTTAAACAAGCCTTTTTTACTCCTCAGTAAGATATGTACAGTGGTGAAGAAGAAACTTCCAAAGTACTGTGCAATAATATGTTCAAGAAGTGGTGTAAATCAGATATGGATACTTAAATTCCAAGGAATTTTTGGACAATTTGAAATCACAAGATTCTACCAAAATCAACAGCTAAAAAACTTACGACTTTTCAACTCTATACAGAACCATTCCCCATGATAAATTAAAGTCCAGGCTTTTTGATATCATTGACAACTGCTTTTTCAATAAAAATGGAACTCGTAAATTTACTTACTTTGTCATTGGTCATTTGCAAAATTATTTTGTTAAAAAAACATTCCGATTGTACACACAAGAACTCTGATGTTGACATGAAAAAGATGCTTGAGTTTCTGACTGACAATATCTAGGATGTTTTTGGAGACCAGGTCTTCCAACAATCTATTGCGCCCCTTTATTAGCAGACCTATTTTTTGTATTCAGGTTAAGTAGAATTTGTCCAAAATCTTAAACGTGAAAAGAAGAAAACACTTGCCGTGGCATTCAACACGACATTTAGATATATCGACGACGTATTATCAATTAACAATGGTAATTTCCATTCTTATGTCGATATGTTATATCCTGGTGATCTGGAGATAAAGATAAGTTAGATAACATATAGTCTGACACATCTATTTCATATTTGGATATTTTACTTGAAAAAGTCCTTAATGGTAATCTTACAACCAAGCTCTATGATAAACGGGATGACTTTTCATTCATCATCACCCCTTACTTTTGCAGCAATACATCTCCATCACCTGCATATGGTGTTTGTTTATCTCGGTTGATTCGATACGCAAGAACATGCTTTACGTATGAACAATTTCTAACACAAGGTAAATTATTGACAAGCAAGTCGATGAAACAAGAATATCAGCAGTCTCGTTTAAAGTCACTCAGTCATGAGTTTATTTATACACTGAATTGAAGACGGATTTCCCCGTTATTTCCCAATCATGGCAAGGAGCAAACGGCGGATGTGACCAGTCGGCAGGGGATGCTCACTCCTCCATGGCACCTGATGTCATGGCTGATGTTTTGTAGGTTCGTGTTTGCTCTGCTCCTTTTTTGTATAGTTTTATGATTTTTATCTTGAATACCGTTATCTCCATATGTTTCATTCCATAAAAGAAATGATTCAAGGTTTCAGTGCTGAAAACCGTTTAAAGTAATCTTCTCCAGTTTTAACCTTCGTCTGCAAGCGTTCAGCCCATGCGTGAATCACGTAATCTTGGCGGTCACTTGAGACGCTCTGTAGCGTTCTGCCACAGAAGCTTAAAAGATTTTCCCTATCATATTTAAATCTTACTGTGCACGTTATTTTTTAATTATTATAACAAAACAGTCCATTTTTTTTTTTAGAAATGGCCAAATCTCGGCAATATTATGGCTGGATAATGATATCCTTTTCCAGAATGGGTATGATGATCATCATAACCCAGTCCTCTTTATTAGGAACCTTGTTTATTCTATGTGGATAAAGTATGGGTTCCTCATTTTTATCATACCGGATATGTTTAAAGTCTAAAATGAACGATATTTCAGGGATATAATAATTATATTATTGTTTAGATTTCAACTATATTTCTAAAAGTATTGGTTTGCGATCTTTCGTATCAAATTGCGTAACAAAGGAAACATCTCTTCCTCAGCTTGCTTTCACTGGGCAACAAAATAAACATAGTTTTCATAAACATAATACTAGTAACATCTCCCTTCCTTCTGACAAGTCTTTTGTCTTCATAAACTCGATTTTTCTATTTGGTAAATATAAGAATAAAACAGATTTGATATTAAAATTTGCAAAATTTTATGTATGACAATATTTAAACAGATCGCGGTGCAATTCGTTCGAACCTATTTTTTATTTCGATCTTAACATCATCTTAGTAGATTTCATGTTTTCACCATTTATTCCCCAGAACAAACTCTCCCTGTTTTGTTTATTAGAAGTCTGGTATACGCCGTTGAGATTTGAGTGTGTACAACTGTTAAACCACCATCCTCCAGGGTGATACTTGGCAGCACAGTTGTAGGAATTATGGTCATTATCACGATCCTTTGTTGAAAAATACGAACCATTCAAATTATAAGCTTGTATCATCATGTCATCTGAAAGTAGGAAGACATTATTATATACAGAATATGGAAGACATTTGTTATAGTTACATGCACTTATAGGAAAGGGGTTCCTTTTCATATTATGATTATGATGCTTTTTTGCGAATTGAGCTTTCAAAATGATGTAATTATACCCGCTCCTTTAAACTAGATGAGTTTGTGAAAACTAATGCCCCCATATGGCAACTAGCGAAGATTAAACTTTTCTTAAAATTAATGCAAACTCACTGGAAATACAATTCTGAAATATGAAAGTAGGCCATGGTTAAAGTTTTTTTTATAAGTTTGGAAATTTCCAAGGTCAAGGTCAAAAGATCAAGGTACTTTTTCATCCAATGAAAAGTCTTGCCACAAAAAATACATTTGTGAAATATGGAAGCCTTAGTCCTAACCCTTCAAAGGTTATGGCCAAGGATAAACATTTTAAACAAGAGGCCCATAGGCCACATCGCTCACCTGAGCAATGTGGCTAGGAAAAAAACAGAAATCAGTTTATATTGAAAAGTTTACACCCAGTAGTAGTCCCAACCAATCCTTAAAAGGGAGGGGGTATAGTTTGAACAAACTTGAATCTACACTAAAGGATGCCTGCATATTTCTTTGACTACCTGTGGCTTTATTGCCCTTTACATTTGAACTTACATTGTGGCCCCGCCCTACCCCCAGGGTTCATGACTTGAACAAAATTGAATCTACACTACTTGAGAATGCTTCCATATGAATACGACTAATTATGGCTTTGCTATTCTTGAAAAGAAGATTTTTTAAAGATTTTTTTCTACATGTTTTTATGTAAAACTTGGATTCCATGTTGTGGCCCCACCCTACCCCCAGGGGTCATGATTTGAACAAATTTGAATCTCCACTATCTGAGGATGCTTCCATAAAAATATGATCATTCATGCCTTTGCTATTCTTGAAAAGAAGATTTTTAAAGAATGTTCCTATATATTTCTATGTAAAACTTTGATCGGCAATTGTGGCCCCGCCCTACCCCGGGGGTCGTGATTTGAACAAACCTGAATCTACCCTACCTGGGGATGCTTCCTAATAAGTTTCATCTTTTCTGGCACAATGGTTCTTGAGAAGAAGTTTTTTAAAGAATGTTCCTATATATTTCTATGTAAAACTTTGATCGGCAATTTGGGCCCACCCTACCTCCGGGGGTCATGATTTGAACAAACCTGAATCTACCCTACCTGGGGATGCTTCCTAATAAGTTTCATCTTTTCTGGCACAGTGGTTCTTGAGAAGAAGTTTTTAAAAGAATTTTCCTATATATTTCTATGTCAAATTTTGATTGGCCATGATGGCCCGCCCTACCCCCGGGGGTCATCATTTGAACAAACTTGAAATTTACACTACCTGAGGATGCTTCCCTATAAATTTCATCTTTCCTGGCACAGTGGACAGTGGTTCTGATTAGAAGATTTTTAAAACATACCATCAAATTTTCACTATTTCTGAAGTATCTTCCCTTGAAAAAAGGTGTGGCCCTTCATTTGAACATACTTGAATCCCCTTTACCTAAGGATACTTTGTGCCAAGTTTGGTTGAAATTGGCCCAGTGGTTCTTGAGGTGAAGTCGAAAATGTGAAAAGTTAACAACAACAAGGTGAGCTAAAAATACTCTAGGTCAAACTCCAAGGTCAAAGGGTCACAGGTCTTGCTATCAAGTGAAAAGTCTTGTCACAATGATTATATATGTAAAGTATGAAAACACAAGTACTAACCCTGTTGAAGTTATGGTCAAGGTTTGCTTTTTAAAAGCAGGTCAAACTCCAAGGAAGGTCAAGGGGTCAAAGTTCTTTGTATCAAATGAAGGGTCTTCTCACAAGAATTATGTATGTGAAGTATGAAATCCCTATCCCTCACCGTTCAAAAGTTATGGCCAAGGTTTTTTTCATAAGTACGGAAATCTCCAAGGTCAAAGGGTCAATGTTGTTGGTATCCAATGTAAGGTCATTCCACAAAGATAAGATACATGAAGTATAAATGTCCTGGTATCCACTATTCAAAAGATATGGCTAATTTAAAAGTTTGGAATTTTTGTGTAAAAGTGGGTCAACTCCAAGGTTAAGGTCAAAAGTTCAAATTTGGTTGTACCCAAAGAAAGGTCTTGTCACAAGGAATGCACATCTGAAATATGAAAGTGATAGCTCCACTAAATCAAAAGTTATGGACAATGTTATAGTTTTTGCGGACAAACAGAGAGACAGGCAGACGGATGGACACGACAAAAACTATATCGTGTAAATAAACTTCGTTTACGGGGGCATAAAAACAAAAAGTATATTTTTTGTGGCGGAAGATCTCTAGAACTTTCAGATTGACTTCTTTATTTATGTTATTTTTAATTGTTATTTTCAAAAATACATGTACTTGACTTCTGATAATACCTCAGTAATTTTACAAGATAAAAATTATTAAGCAAACGCTAATTTTCATTAGAAAAAAAAATAATAAGTTGATTCTAAAAATTGAATTGAAAGGATGAAGATATATTGTTCAAATATTAGAGGACAGTCCGACAGCATGAATAGACATCTTTAACCCACTTTACCATTAATCCTTAACTGGGGCACTTAATTTTCATCTGCATTTTGGAATATTCAGAATGTGTATTTTTTCTCGAAAATACCCTCTTAAGTGAATGAGACACTTTATTAATGATCTAGTTACCTGCGCTGCCACTGAATTCTTCAATTGACAGTTGGTATTTTTCTATCTCACTTCCGACTGAGAAACTTGAATATCGTGCATACACCATTGAACCGGAGAATTTTTTCTAAGTCTATCCAAAGTTCTTGGTTTTTGCCAGCAGTAAGATCATGGATTGCGTCATTTCCTGCAAAATTGCTGACATGTTTTATTTTGGACAAATATTGATTTTATTTTTTTCTTTGTTCGTTTCTTTTTCTTGTTTTTGGCAAAGTTACATGTGTAAATTCTTATTCTTGTATTACCCATCGTGTATATTACCTAACCAGTACTCTTTACTATCGTGTATATTACGTAACCGGTATTCTTTACTCTCGTGTATATATAATCTA